GGAATGAGATTTCATTCTCAGAGGAAGGAATGGTGATTCCTTCAAATGGAAGAATGCCATTCCAACAAGAATGGGAATGGGATTTCGATTCTGTCCAACCAAACAGTTAGAATTGGAAAGACCCTTTCCTTTCCGATTCCGATTCCAAACCCCTACTCCCATGAACCAAATGGGCCCTAAGTTTGAAATTTTTCATGTCACTAAAATGTACCACTAAGATGTATATGCAATAATTGATTATTGCCCTAAAATCTTTACACATGTTTGAATGCTTATTGTTGTTGTGATTCTTGTCAATGGCCACAATGGTTGTTAAATAAATCCAAATTTTCAATTAATCAATTTTTTGGTACATGATCAGGCCCTCTTATTTCCTCATCTAGGGATTCGGAGAGGGGAATTGCTTGTTGATGCTCCACTAGTTGAGAGTCCAGATTTCATGACCACAAAATGTTGGGATCTTAATTATCCAAGAAGAAATTTTGGGATTTTATAGTCATGTATTGGAAATATTTCTTGTACTTTTTTTATAATTCATAGGCCTTATGTACAACAGTGATGTATTGTGGCCCTGATGTGACTAGCATTTTTATGGTCAATAGAAATCAATATTTTAAAAACCAACCTCAAGATTGAACTGTTTTTCCCTTTTGAGTCATAGGTCAATAGTTCAAACTATCTAGGTCAAATGGGTCAAACTCAATACAAAGTTATAGCCATGCATATAAATTGTAACTTATAAACGGTAACTCATTGACTGAGTCGAATGGATCAATAGTTTAACATCTTGGGTTGAATGGGTTTTTACCAAATCAACGATTTTTTAGCTACTAACAGATTTGATGTTGAACTAAATCAGAATTATGACCGGGTGATGATTTTCTCAATCTAATCGGTCAATGACAGTTTGTAAACATTACTTGGCATCACTCAGGATTAGGAGGCTTGGGATCAAGCTCTCTATGGTAAGGCCAATGGGTCCTCATAGGCACCCTACTCTATGTCCAACAACCAACATGTGTACCGTTTAATACAGGAAAAAAAAAAAAGAAAAAGCTAAGTTCTCAAGCAAATAAGTGTGAGAATGCCGGTTCAAGTTTATGAACCACCACTTTTGTCCTAAAAATGTCAACATTTTCTAATCAATTTTAAGTAATGTATAGATAGTCTACCCTCCCAAAACCTTATATATAGAGCTGTCAATTGGACTGGATTTGGTCTAATTCGATCTAGTTCAATGTGAATTCATTATAAATGGATCAGGTCCAATCCAGTCCAATGAATATTTTGGATCATTTTGGACCAGTCTAATTCAATGTCTGGACTATCCAATCTGTTCAAATTCGTTTTGCTTTAGATTGGTTTCAATCCAAACCTGGTCCATTGACACCTATATTCTTATCTTATATCAATGGATCAGATATTGGCTTAATACAGCTCAATCCAATATAAATTTATTACGGACGGACCAGGTCCAATCCAATCTAATAAATATTTTGGACCGGATTGGTCCAATCCAATATGTCTTGTTGGTCCATCCAAATTAATTTTGGACTGGACATGGTTCAATCCAAAACCAATCCATTGACACCCTTATATATAGGCAGGACCATCATTGATCATTGAGTTCTTGTGGCCCTTTTCATCATTAAGACTCAATTTGGAAGGAGTACAAATGCAAATATATACAGTGTAAATACAAATAAAATACACAATTTTGCACTCTACATCTGTATTTGTATTCCTTCCAAACTAAGCCTAATGGAATTTTAGGGATTATGCAAATGGACGTGATACTTTTGATGACAATATAAATTGGTTATTAACTCTTAGCTCATTAAATAATTTTATTATATGCCTTAATTCTTTCAACTATCAATAATATTTTGATAAGCATGATAATTCATATTCTAAGAAAATACGTATACTTAAGCACTCCTACGATCTTCTTCTAATACATTAATTGAGGATTTTATTTTATGGGGCCAACTGCCCCATATGGCAATATATAATAAGTGTAGAATCAAGAAAATAATTATTGATAGGGAAATTGTCTAAAACTCACCATGAGTTTTCTGCATTTCTCTTAAACTCACCACAACTTTTCAAAATGTCTAAAACACACCATGTCACTAACTTGACGTTAAACAGACCAATAGGTGTTAATATATTACTATTTTAACCTTCATAGATAAATATAAAATATATACATATACATATATATATATATATATATTTAGACATGAAAAAAAGAAAAAATTCAAAAAATATTTTCAAATATAAAATACATAAAAAACATAGGAATTACAAAAATTATAAAAATTGCAAACGAAATAAAAAATTATTTTCAAATTATAGAAACTATAGAGATTGAAAAACAAAATCAGAAAATAAAAATTGTAGAAAAAACATAAAAAATTATAGAAAAATGCAGAAATCGCAAATAAATAAAAAACAATATAGAAAAATTTATAGATAGTAGAAAATAGAAAAATGTAAAAAAAAAAACAGAAATTATAAAAAAAACATTGAAAATTATAACAAAACACTAAAAATGCAAAAAAAAAGAAACTGAAAACTGAAAAAGACAAAAAAAAAACCCGAATAATATAAAGATTGGATAACGGTGCACCCTTTTCCCTCTAACTCGTCATTTATGGGTAATTTGGTCATGAAAATTGTTATTTATGCTGATGTAGACACCTCTATTAAGAAGCATTAACGGTGCACTAACGGAATGTGAGTTTTAGAAATTCAAAACCTACTGAAGTGGTGAGTTTTAGACATTTTGAAAAGTTATGATGAATTTAAGAGAAATGCTGAAAAGTCATGGTGTGTTTTAAACAATTTTCCTTGTTTATAATTAAGGGTCATTTCACAACACATGGAATTGAATGGCTTATTGCTTTGTTTTTAGTAAGGCAATAAATAGGTTGTGAACTCCTTTATGATGCATTATGTGGTCAATGGTGGATTGATTAATGTTGCTGTTCAGATCTACAACAGGGCGAGGAATTGAAGACTTAGGGCTTCAACGGCCTGCAAGCAGTTAGAAGCCCTAGAGTTCTTTTCCTGGGTGGGATCTTCGATGCTCAAGTCAAATGATGAGAGTGTAAAAAGAATGAGAGGCGAAGTAAGAAAAATGGAAGAGTAAATATGAGTTGAAGCATTTTTCATGTATCATACCTTAGGTTGTGTGCCCTTGTCTCTTATCTGAAAATAACATCTATTCAGTCCCTGGTAAATGCACAACAGACCCTTACTCTCCATTCTTCATTGATTACGTCATGAATTTTCCACACTACCGTTGGCTCGGACCACATGGCACCTTTTGATTGGTGGTGAATATTTGGTTGTATCAATTACTATTCTATGTACTTTTGCCCAATGGTGAAACATAAAGCATTAAGTCATTCAGTTCAGCTATGAATAGGGGTGTCAATGGACTGATTTTTTTATTAGACCCCATTCAAAACAAAATCAATTTGAATGGATTGGATGGACCAACAAGACATATTGGATTGGACCGGTCTAGATTTAATGGTCCAAAGTATTTTTGGATTGGATTGGATTGGAGATGGTCCATCCATAATAAATTTATTTTGGGTTGGGTTGGATTGAGGCAATATCTTATCTATTGATAGAAGATAAGAATATAGGTGCTAATGGATTGGGTTTGGAATAGAATTAATCTATATTAAAACAAATTTGAACAGATTGGACAGTCCAAAAATTGAATCAAACTGGTCCAAATTATTCATTGGACTGGATTGGACCTGGTCCATTTGTAATGGACTCACATTTAACTGGGTTGGATTGAACCAATCCAAGTCCAATCCAATTGACAAAAACAAATTTGAACAGATAGGACAATCCAGAAATTGAATCAAACTGATCCAAAATGGTTCAAAATATTCATTGGATTGGATTGGACCTGGTCCATTTGCAATGGACTCATATTGAAGTGGGTCGGGCTGGACCAAATCCAATCCAATTGACACCCCTAGCTGTGACACAAAGGCTAAGGTGATGCTTGGCATCAAAGCCGATTCTTCCTTGTTGATTTTTTGAGAATTGGTGAATTTTCAAAAATCAGTTAATTGTGTTTGGTATCATTTCTGCCATATAAGTCTATATTTTACAAGTCAGTTTTGAATCTATTTATTACTGATTCTGAAGAGTTGATTATTTTTACATTTGGAGTTATTATTCAATGTCACATTGCATGTCATGTCATCCTCAAAAACTTGGAATTAGTTGAAAATTGGGGAATCACCGAAAATGGTGATCCCAAGGAAAAAAAAAGGCCAATTTCAAGAATCGGTTTTTGGCCAATTTTCCAAAAACCATCAAAATCTACCCATCAAACAGAAATTTCAGTGCCAATTCCTCTAGCACTAACATGGCTCTCCGGCATTGTAGTGATTAGTGATTTTCAAGAAATTGGCATAGATGCCAAACATCCCCTAAATTTTCTTCCTTTCTCTAACAATTTTATGGGGTAAGAAACTAGGAACCGTAGGGTAGAAAAAATGGTCACTAGAGGATGGAAGAAAAAGGTCATTTTGACAAGGGTTTACACTTTGGCCATGTTTGGTTTGAAGGCAAAGGGAGCGAAAGGAAGGGAAACCTATACCTACATTTCCCTTCAAACCAAATACAGCCTTAAGGATCGGTATATTAATCGGACGGCCCATATGACTTGCTTCCCATCCTGATGCGAGGAAAGTAGTGCGGATGCTGGCGTCCTACGTCAAGTCACCAAGATATAAGGTGATGTCTACTCGTTGCTCAAGTCTTCCATCTTCCTGTTATCTCTCGTATTTAGTTTCTCATCAGTAATCTGTTTTGCCGTTCTTCTCATTTTTAATTCTTCGTCTTCCCGTTGGAATCCTGTAAGTCTGAATCCACCCCAAGAGCCCAACATCGGAACGAGGAAGCTCGTTCTCTCAAAGTTGAGCTCTTTTTTTTTCTTCTTTTCCTTTTCCAGCACGAAATCGAAGTCGACGATCTTTTCGATCCTCCAATAGACGCAAATTCTATCAGTCTCATCATCTGTACCTGCCACCAATCGATCATTTGTTATTTTGTTCTAATCGGATGAAGATTTTGGCCGCATTTTAGCGAAATAATTATTTTGAAAAGTGTTTCATGTTTGGAATGGTTGTTGGGTCCTTGTCGAATTTCATTTTATTGTAGGATAGAATTTCTTACGTTTGGTATTGCAGATGTTACTAGGGCTCTAGCTTCATCTGATTTGTAGCTATACTGGCGTGAAGATGTCAGTTGAAGATCTTTGATATAATATATCCTTTGTCTATAACGATTTCTGAAATAAATATTTGAGAGAAATGCAGTTGATACGGAAAGATCTCATCTGATTCTAGTCGCTGATTACTAGAATTCTATTTACAGGACATGATTTGAATGTCTTCGAAGATTTCTTCGGTTTGATCCATTAAAAAGGGAATCTCCTAGATCTTGCCTCAGGGGTAAGAATAAGGAGAAGATCACCCTACTGGGCCTTCGATTTTATCCTACTCTTCTCGGTCGTGGTTCTCTTGAGTTTCTACCGCTAGTCTTTTCGGTCGTGATTTTATCATACTCTTTTCGATCGTTAGTCTTACACCAGACACAGAAGGACGAGCGATTTTGCAGTTTGAGCCATTTATGGGATTTGATCGCCGGTAAGACATCACCCGTTTTGCTTATCTGATCGCTTTATCTTTCTTTAATTTACTGCTCTTAGATTCTGATAGTTTATTTTGCTGTCTTCTCATGTTGCTCTCCGGCATGATTTGGTGAATCGCCTTTGGCAAAATTTCCAGACCCGAAATAGGGCAACTCGGCCATTGCTAAAATTGGTAAATGGAGCCTGCCTAAAACCTAAAAAGCAAAAGGCTTTCCTTCGTAAACTTCTGTATCTTTGATTGTCTGTGTTTAACTGTTTGTGGGCTCTCTGTGTGTATGTTGTTGGTCATCCATGGCTCCTCTTTGCATTGGATTCTGTGGTTTTTTTTCTTCACTTGTGGTGGCTGGTGCAAGTATGCAGATTGCCAACGCTACAAGTGCATGCCTGACTTTTTGACAAGATTGTAAATCGATAATTAAAGAGGGTTTTATTTTATCTAATTTATTTCCAATTTGTTGCCTTTTAATACCAGCAATCGGCAATGGCGTCGTCATCAAATTCGCCCTGTGCCGCCTGCAAGTTTCTGAGGCGTAAATGCACGCAGGAGTGCGTATTTGCCCCATATTTCCCCCCTGACAACCCTCAAAAGTTTGCGAATGTTCACAAGGTGTTTGGCGCAAGCAACGTTGCGAAGATCCTCAACGATCTGAGCACAACCCAGAGAGAGGACGCAGTGAACTCGTTGGCCTACGAGGCGGAGGCCCGGCTCCGGGATCCGGTCTACGGCTGCGTGGGTCTTATTTCCGTGCTTCAACACAAGCTGAAACAGGTTCAGAGCGACCTCTACAATGCTAAGAAAGAGCTCTCCAACTACATCGGTTCTCCGGCGATGCTGCCCCTCACACACCAACATCATCACCACCTTTACCACCACCAACACCCCTCTTCATCCATGGGAGGACCGTTTGGGATGTCCTCGATCGGCACGAGCCTACCTCCTGGTCCTTCAGCACAGGCGCAATTTCTTATCAGAGAACAGCAGCAGCAGCAGCAGCAGATGTTCGAGGCGCAGCAAGTGGCTGGAGTTATGCCTATGAGAGAGCAGCAAGAACTGATGAGGAGATACGAGCAACAACAACAACAGCAACAACACGACCTTGTGAGGTATAACAGCGGCTTTGACGTTGCTACCGGGGCGGCCGGTGCCGGTTGTGCTGGTAGCAGCTTTACAGAGGTAGCTCCTAACGGGGTTGGTGGTGGAGGTTATAACCAGATGAGCGGAGCGATGCCTTCTTCTCTGGCTTTAGTTTCATACGACAACCCATTTCAGGTGCAACAACAACCACAACCAGAAGACTCACAGTCGCAACAATCGCATACACCCCATCTACTGCAGCGGCAACAACAACAGCACAGAGGTGGGAGCGATGAGTGTCGGAGCGCCAGGCCGTCGTCGAATTAAAGCTTAGCCTATCGGTCTTTCTGGTTTCCGATTGCTGCTTCTCGCTCCGTACATTGGACATTGCACGTGTAAATACGCCCGCCTTACATTTTGAACTTCTGCGTGAAAAGAAAATGAGAAGAAATTGGACGTGGTTGCGTGTGTGTGTGTGTGATTTCTATGATTTGACCAAAATACCCCCAGGTGTTTTTTATTTTTTATTTAATTCTCTAATTTTATTTTATATACATTCCATCTTTAGTTCAGTTTAATTGGTTCAATTGGGAGAGTCTATGACTAAACTACTTTTACTCAGTCGGTGTAGCATTTCCGAAAACATGGAGATTGGAGAGTATATATGGGCATGAATTTAATTACTGGACAACTCACGCAGAAGGCAGAATTGTCCTTTTAATATATTATTTTTTATTTAATTTTTTTGGTGGAGCTTACTAAGATTAAAAGATCGATCTCACGTGGTGGGCGGTTGGAACTTGGGTGTTGGAATTCTTTTCACTATTAGCTCCATGATTTTAGGGATTTTAATTGAAATTTTTAAGTTTCAAAACAAACCCCATTAAACTCAATTTTTCTAGGATAGTTCCTTGATAGATGGAACTTACCTATTTCAAAATAAGTCGTACCCACAGAACACTACAGCTATAATATCAGGAACATCTACAGAGATCCAAACACAAGAAAGAAGGCCCCTCTCTCCCTAGTCATTGCAAGCACTCTCTACCATTAGTGTCGTCAATGGGTTGGGTCCAATCCGATGGATCCGAACTGAGCGGGCCGGTTTCGGTTATGAGAATTGGAATCGATGGGTCATCGGGTCCTGATATAAGGTCCTGATTATTATCGATTTGAACTGGTTCCACCTAGTCCCAAACTAATTCAGGCCCAACCCAATATATATAATATATAGAATATTTAATATATATATATATATATAGTAAATATAAATATTTATTTTTAATTTATTATAATCGGCTCTATCGGGTTAGACCCGATTGTCTCGAAAATCAATCAGTTCAGTTTTGGGCCCAAAATTTACAGACCCTATCGGTCCAGGCCCTCAACATTTCATGTTGAATCGATTCTGATTCCAGTTGGTTTCAACTCAGACCCAACCCATTGACAGCCCTATCTACCATTAAACAAGGGGATAGAAGTCACAGAACCATTTCTTGTTCCCATCAAGTGACCCTTGGTGAGAGAAGATCTATTACCACCTTGTGGTGATCGGTTTACAAGCAAAGAAGGGATATTGCATACTGTGGATTCAAAGCTAGAGGAGAGGTCGAGTTCAAGAGATCCAACCATAAAGACGGTATCAGTAGAGCAGGATTTCATTTCCAAAAAAGGGGTAGAGGGAATGGTCATTCCCTCAAATGGGGAATGCCAAATGCCATTCCAATATAAATGGGAATGGAAATCCGATTCAACCCAACCAAATAGTTGGAATTAGAATAACTCACATTCCGATTCCGATTCTAATTCCAGCAAACCAAACGGGGCCTAAATTATATTTAGTCATAGCATTCACTGAGAAACACAACATGATTTATTCAGGTCAGGGATTCGATACTCTATTTTGCTTATTTTATGTAATATTGTTATTTGTTAAACTCGGTGCAGTGCATGGCCGATTTTCATTCATGGCCATTGCTCTGTATTGGTTAAACCTCTTCTTGCTTAGTTAGATCTCATGGCTACCATTAAGTTTGCTATCTTGTTTGCTTTTGTTAATGTTAATGGGTTTTGGTAACATTAACTATCCCCATCATAGCTTTGTGGGTTGTATTTCATGCCCATTACATGTAAATTCAAGAGGTTTATTTCAGCTTTATTTTTTTCTCTTATTTTCCTTTTTTTCTGAAAATGCCTAAATGTTCATCGATCCATTCAACTTGAATCCTCAATTACATCAAAATTCAGGGCAGAATGAAGAAATTCCAGAGTTACAGACCAGGTTTTAGGAGAACTACAATTTAGAGAAAATCGTGTTAGATGACGAGCTGCCTTGTTACAAGATCTAGGAGTGAAGATTACTAAAGAATTTATGATAAAGCACCACTGTGTGCCAAACATAGGACACGACGTGACCTATAGAGGGGTGTCCAGCATCGACATTGCCGTAGATGAGAATGAAATCCTCTGATATAGTTATCCAAAGGAAATAAAAAAAAAAAAATCCCCAATTAGATAACCTAACTAGCACAAAGTTAAATCCTTCAAAAATTTTTAATACATTGTAAATTATATAACTTATGACCCAATCATCAAGTCAAAAGAGTCAACCCATAATTAGAAATTGGGTTGAGTGATGGTTTGAATGGTTTAATTATCCAAGTCAATGACAGGTTAAAAACATTGAATAAATTATCATAAAAATTATATTCCATTTAAAAATAATAAAAATTAATTAACCATAGTAAAAATTAGTGTTTAAAAAATTAGACCAGACTGGCTAGTTGGACTGGTTGAGTGACTAGGGTCATGGCCGGTTCAGTCATACCCTAAAACCACATTGGGTAAAAAATAGCCAAAATCGATGATCTAGATGATTGAAACAGAAAACTGGTAACCCAGTCCCAGTTTTAGAAAATCAGCTGGTTTTTTTAATTTTCTTTACAAACGTAAATGCAAACTTCTAAAGGCCATAATTTTGCGCTTAGATGTCTAATTTGGGTAATCTTTTTTCTTATTTTGGGTAACTTTTTGACATCTACACATTAATTTTCCTGTTCTAATTGGGTAACTTTTTGAATTTTCTTTTTTTAGAAAAAAGCATTTTCTAAAAAAAATATTTTTTTTGCTTTAAATCTTAATTTTTAATATAAAACATTGAAACTAAAATAAATATATGTTATAAAAGAATATAGTTATATATTTTATTATTATAATCTAATATATAATTTATAATATGTTATACACACATTATCCCGGTTCAACCCCAGTTGAGTTTTTGACCCGTGAACCTCTCCCTTTTTTGGGTTGATCCCCGGTCCGGTTTTCTATACATTGGTAAAAATAATATAGTAAGCTACTTAAATAAAATAACAATGATTATCAATTATTATTATTGATAAAAATATTTTTATTAATATAATAAAATTAACTTAATTCATAAAAAGGAATAAAATAAGTTAAAAACTAATATCAATTTAAATTAATATAAAACTAATACAAAATTATCTAACAATTATTAGTTTTATAATTAATTTTTACTAATTTACGACCAACTTAAATTCCACTAAATAAATAAAAATTTAATACAGTTAATTGAATTTAATAAGGACTAATAAAAACAAAAATTAATAAAAAATGGTTCATTTTAAACATATTATAATTAACTTAAAATCAATTTAGATTTCATTTAAAAATAGGAAAAATTATAAAGACCTTCGGTTTTTTAACAATCCTATGAAATTCCCCTATGTTTTAACCTTAACAAAAACCTTAATACCTTCCTTTCATTAGCAGTCCGAATAAAAAATGATGATGTAATGCATTATGTTTTAAATACCAAATTTACCCTTAAACCGACACCTGGGAATCAGTTTGAAATATATATCCCGGAGTATCATTTTGAGGTCATTCCATGTCTTGGTAGAATCGCCACAATGATTTGGCTCCCAAATCCCATGCTTGGAAGAGGAACCACCTCGGGGATATCGCTGTTAATGGACCGGTTTTGGGTTGGACCGGTCTAAATCAAAATCAATTTGATTGGACTGAATGAACCAGTAAGACATTGAATAGAACCAGCCTAGACTTAATCAGAGTTGGACCTGGTCCTTCCCCGTAATGGATTTATATTAGATTGGATCGGATTGAACCAATATCTTGTCCATTGATAGAAGATCAGTATACAGGTGTCAATAGACCAGGTTTGGGTTGGAACCAATCTAAATTAAAATACATAGCGAACAAAGAAAAATGCCCTCTCCAGAAAAGTTACAAAAACTGCAGTTTCATCAAAGCTACAAAATGAGTGCACTTGCTAGAATCTTAGTCTGAATCAGAGGATTCTTCACGAGGATCCAGTGCCATAACCATCCTAGACAATTCCTCCCCCATGTCCTGCAATTCATCCTTTTCAAAACCCCAACTTCTAAGCACCTCAGATCCTGGTGCACCCTTCTCAATTCCAAATCGGCGAAGGTTGCCCAACCGTGTCTCTATATAAGGCAAGATGGCATTGCTAGAACGTAGTCTGGCAGCCATGGGAATAGAGTGAACATCAAGTGATCCCCTTGATTGAGACCCATAAATTGGGCTGTCCAACAGCTCTCCACGTTCGCGAACAAGGTTGCTGAATATTGATGGAAAAGGCAAGGGTATTGGAAGAGGACAGAGAGCAACCGAAAGATGAGAGAACATTGGCCTCGTCAAAGCACTTTCATAAGAAGCAAAGATTGAATCCTGCACTTCAGAAATGGAGGCCGGATTACCTCCTGTTGTCCAAAAACATAAAAAAAAAAAAAAAAAAAAATACATTAGAATGGAATGCATTGTCTCTTCTCATTTAGACAGCATTACTTCCAATTAGAACAGGAAAAAGGATTAGGGCTATCAATAGGATAGGTCTACTTTTAGCAGGATTTGGCAGTGTTCACAATCAGACCAAAGCCTGGATTCTATTAATCAATGTACCTGGTAGATTAGGCCTTTGCTGAATAACTAGCACATGTCAATATTGGACCAAATTCAAATCCGGCCCATGCCTGGTTTTAAACATTTACTGAGTTTAGATGCTCAAAGATTATTACCAAGGCTGATGTGAGCTTAAGCTAGCCTTAATTGACCAAGGCCCAGCCCTACAAAAGCTCCTAGAGAGCCAAAAAGAAACCAATGCTATGCATAGCAAGAAGGAATTTGAATTTAGAAGGGCATGCACCACTATCAGATTAATTTCTGCCTTTAGTTTTATCTTTTTTCGTGATTAGCTTGGCTCAACGTCTTAAAACTCCAAAATCCTAGAGTTTCGTCCCTTCAATGGAGCAGGGAGAGCCAACTGAACAATTAAACCGACCAAATCAGACCAGTGCCCAACCTACTAGAGGAATATAATAAACAATAAAATCATCAATTCTAATGCAAAATATCCGTGGATATCTAGGTCAGAATTAGATCAAACCCATTTCTAGGTTGCATGGGAATGTTTCCAGAAGATAATCATGACCAAAATTCTTGACACAAAAAGCCCACATATCTTCTCTATCTATCTATCTATCTATCTATCTATAAATTGGTCCTGCCATGTCAGCATCCCTCTCCTTACTTCAAACCCCCCTTCCTAATTCTGTTTTTTTTTAACTCCACATAATTACCCATTAAACCAATAAGCAAATCAAATTTGCTCAACTATTTCTAACAACCATAAAGAAAGAGGGATTTGCTTTCCTAATGTTTAGCCAAGTGGCACCACTTCCTCCTAAATTGTCTCTAATTCCTATTTATCTCCTAAATTATCTCTAACTCTTTTTATCTCTTAAATTATCTCTAATTTAGTAGAGAGATACTCTCCTAAACTATCTCTAATTCCTATATATCCTCTCACCCACTTTTTAGCTATATCTATCTAAAGAAAGTTTCAATTAAAAAAATTCAGAACAATTTAAATGATATAACGAAATTATATACTAAATTTAAAATATTTATTCAAAACACA